CATTTATTTTGTTGTTGATGAATGTGAAGAGGCAGGTTTTGATAGGTGAATGCAAAATACAAAAATATTGCATGGTAGTGCTGCATCTTTGTCTAATTTTTTATATGTACAAAAATTGGGCCGGTCTTGGCCATTAAACTCCCGGGCTGAAAAATTTCCCCACTCCGCCCCTGCCCGACCCCTTTGGCCCCTCCTACAGGTGGTGAGCCCGTTGGAAGGGGGACCCAYGTYTCCTCTTCGGKCTGAGCCCGGCCGGGCTCCGTGGGTGAAAGCCTGGCCACCAGGCGCTCGCCATCGTGCCCCACCTCCAGGCCTGGCTCCAGAGGGGGGCCCTGGTGACCCCCGTCCTGGTGAGGGAACGCCAGATCCAAAGTTTAACATCATCATAAGGGGTCTTCGGACTGCGCTTTGTCTGGTTCCTCACCTAGGACCTGTCTGCCWTGGGTGACCCTACCAGGGGCATAAAACCCCAGACAGCATAGCTCCTAGGATCATTGGGACACTCAAACCCCTCCACCACGATAAGGTGGCAGCCCAGGGAGAGGGAGAAATTTAACCATGAAATGTTTAATGTTTATAAGACATTTAGCCCTTAAACATTTGCACTTATTTTGGTTCAAATAAAGAACTTTATGTTTACTAGATTGTTAACTAATTATTTTCGAGTTAATGTTGCTTTAATGAACAGTGATTTAAAAAATATCCTGTAAAACTCTGATGTTAAATGTGATGTGGTTGAAAATTTGGGTGCAGCTAACCTTTGTGCTGGTGCACCTAAGAAAAAATGTTAGGCGCACCGGTGCAACCAGTGCAAAAAGTTAGTCTAGAGCCCTGACTGATCAATACTGATTTTGTAACATTTTTATTGTGATACATTTTTCAGTCATATGGCTCAGCTCTAGTGGAAACAAATGTACTCAGCTGAGAATCCACAATGCACTCAATCAATCTGTCCCTTATGAAGCAAATAAGCACACACTGGAAGGAGACAATGTGGGTCATGGCCGTGGCTGTTAAAATTAAGTAGCTAGTTTGATGAATTTTTCAAGTATATTATTAGAACACAGTAACTGAGTTAGAGTCAAAAACATACAAGTGTAATTGTCATTTTTTAATGGGCATATTGGCCCATTTATTGGCTAAATGCCACAATTAATTGTGATGTATTTGATTTGATTTTAGTAAAACAACTGTTGGCACATTAAAACATCACATTAAAGAAATCCTGCCTTTCACCTTTGATGGCAGACGTTAAATATAACAAGTTAAAATAAATAAATCTTAATGCAAGTGTTCCTCCTCTTGTCAGAGTCTGATTGGAGCATCCAGAGTCAGGAAAACCAGAAACCTCCTGACCAGCAGATGTCCAGGAAAGCTGTAACCAGCAACGGTTCTGGATCTCAGATCACCTCTGCTGGCTTCTGCACTGACTCTCCTGAAACCAAAGTCCAGAAATGTTTTATTTGTGTGACGGGAATGACCTGTGCCTCCTGCGTGGCCAACATTGAAAGACACATGCTAAAACAAAAGGGTGAGTTTTAGGGACACAACTTCCAGGCCTTTCTGGGAGTTAATGACTTAATGATCCTTGTTTTTGCTTAAACATGCAGGAATCACTTCGGTGCTGGTGTCACTGATGGCTGGAAAAGCCGAGGTGAAGTACGACCCGGACGTCCTGAATGCTGCTGCTGTCACTCAGCTCATCCAGGATTTAGGCTTTGGTGCTAAACTGATGGAGGATAACATGGTGATGCACGGGGAACTGGTCCTGCTGGTATCAGGCATGACATGTGCGTCGTGTGTGCACAGCATCGAGTCCAAGCTCACCACAACTAAAGGGATCATCTCAGCCTCTGTTGCTTTGGCAACCCAAAAAGCCCACATCCAGTTTGACCCAGAGGTGCTTGGGGTGCGAGATATTGTCCGAATGATTCAGGTAGTTTAAAGCTATGTTTCAGATTCGACCTTGAGTACAAATGTGACAGTATAACCTGGTTTTCATTGCAGAGCCTTGGATTTGAGGCTAGCCTGGAGAAGGCCAAGTTTAAGAACAACCTTGATCACTCAGAAGAAATTCGACAGCAAGTATCTTTTGTAAAAAAATAATTAAATCCTATGTAAAATGTAGAACTGTAAATTAGAGATGTATAGACCTGGTATGATTATGATGATGATGATGACGATGATGATGATGATGATGATGATGATGCCTTTATTGTCATTGCACAGAGCACAACAAAATTACATTTAAGAATACAAACAGACTTTGCTGACATCTACAACCTGAGATCAGAATTAAACCTGGACTATACTTCATCAATGGTGCGTTTACACCGAACGCGATTTCAGCTTCAAAATTGCATCCAACGCTTCATGTTGGACTCTTGTGCACTTTGAGATTAGACGCAGACACTCTTGAAGCACTCGCACGTTGAGAGCTTCACCACCCCCTCCCTCCTCTGCCGGTCTCTCCTCTGTTGGGCTCTGTTTAATGTCGGATGAAATACAGGAAGTGACTTTGCTTTATTTACAGAGAGCAAGAGCGTGTCACGCTCATCAGATAAGTAATTCATGAGTAATTCACCAGATAATTCAGAGACGTTCTGAGTTTGGTGAGTTTCATCACCCGGGACCTGCGGGAGAGGCTCGCGGCTCACTTTCAGAACTATTTTTGTCCCGAGTCCAGTCCGATGAGCCGCTGCCACGCATTGGTGAGGATATCTCCTGTCAGGACACCGACTGCAGGCACTCGATTTCAGCTACAGCGGGTAAAATAAGTATTGAACACATCACCATTTTTCTCAGTAAATATATTACTAGAGGTGCTAATG